ACTCCATGCCAGGCACTTCACATATGCCGACAGCGATGGCTCCATTTATTCAGCACTTCCACACACCAGGCACTCATTCTTTGAATAGGCATGATTATCCTCTTTTCACATAGGAGGAGGGTCAGAGAGGCCACGAGTAACTTGCCTAGGACGGCCCAGTTAATGAATGGCAGGTGTGGGATTCACAACAAGGCCTGCCTGACTTCAAGGTCATGCATTCAACCGTCAGGCTATGTACAAGACTCGCGACGGCAATGCACACTCGGGGCAAACTTATCCCCCCATTTTAGAGATGCAACTCAGGAAGTAAAGTCATTCGGCTGGTAAGTGATAAAGCAGGTTAAACCCAGTTCTTGAAAACAGGAAACAAGAACCAGCAGGGTGGTGTCAATGGGTCCTGCCGACACAACCCGGAAGGCTGGATTATTCCTTCCAGACACTGTCCCCAGCCTACAATGCTGGCGCCATCCTCAGCCCACTCACAGCCCCACCCCACCAATTTCGGCATCCCTGTTTCCCAACCAACCATCGGCTCAGTCAACACGTCATGTAATCAATACAATCTCCTGCTGTCATATATAATGTAACCCAGAGAAGGTAAATACAGGTCAAATATAGAATAACAAGACACCAGTAGTCGATATTAATAATAACGGCCAGCAGTCAACAAGGGTTGATGGTTCCTGCCCAGGGAGCTATCAGTGCTATAAAATAAGTCTCCATCACCCTTAGCTTTGTAGGCACAACCTATCACAGATCTTCGGCATTTCATGTAGATTCTTGAGTCTCTTCCTTCTAAACAAACCCTCCAGTCAACCAGCTTAAGTCTATGAAAAGTCAGGCTAAAAATCTACTGCTTTCACTGAGTAATTTCCACTTTCACCTCTGTTGTACGGCAGAAGATCAATTGTCCAGAATGCCCAGGACCTGATTAACGATATTTTGGGGCTTAGCCATCTTAACCCCCAATGCTCACAAAATTTAAGGAAAAGAACATTACCATGTAAAACGTAAGAAAAACTGAAAATCACAGGAATTTGTCCTTTATCTGTGGGACCACTTTATGTGACTAAACTTGTTGGTTATGCCCCGCTCAGTCTGTTTAGAGTGGACTGGGCCACTGGAGTGTCATTAAGGGGTCACTTATAACCTGGCCAAATGCACTCTTACCATGCCCCTGGCAACACACATAGCTGATGCTCCTCAACGACCTCAGTGCCGTGATTTATTAAAGGGCTGATGACTATTTTGAGGCAATTCCATTGTCTAGAGTTCTAAATGGATACTCTGTTTCTATATTATATTTAGGAGAAGTACACTCCCTCCACTGGTATCCACACCTTCATTTTCACACTCCTTTTATAAAACCATAAGGGAAATAAAATATTCAGATGAATTGCCCAAAGACCACAGCATAGACAATGAGTTAGGCTGCCAAAATGAAACCACTGGCTGGCAGGCTTCAGCTAGAAAAATTCCTTTGTAAGCTGAGGTTTGAGAGCTTCAGGGTACAAAAGGTGATTTAGGGGCACCATTATGTAATGCACACAAATGGCGAGTGGTGTGAAAGGTGAAACACAACGCTGAGGACAGCCTGTATCTGTCGCTGGTGCCAGCTTTCCTAAAAGCCCCTTCTAATCCGTTTCTACCCTCAGCCACACTAGACACTTGGACATCACCTTTGATTTTTCCTGAGGACAGCTGCAGGCTGTCCAAACAATACAGATCTAGCCATCAACACACTGCACATAAACAGCATGCACGCTGCCACACCCCTCCTGTGCTCAGGGCAGACATCACTAATTGATCACAACATGCTGGATGCAGCCTCAGAACCCTCCACACAGGACTCTGGGAGCCCCCATAATCAGTTAGGAACAAACCCACTATCTACCACTCTTTATCTAGCTCATTTTTTATTTATGTGTTCAGAGTCTCCTGCAGGTCCCCAGTCTCTGTCCTCAACAGTCAGACCCAGGTCGTGCGCTGAAGGAAAGGACTGCTGAGTGTGTGCATCATGAACGCGACGCCTGGGGTCAGGACACCACGGCAGCAGGGTGAATCAGGGAAAGGAGGTGAGAGGGACAGGTCAGGAAGGTCTCTGTGAAGGGATTCAGCCTTCTCCTAGCTGTGATGGGGCGGCTGGAGCTGGTCTCCAAGGGTAAGGAGGAACTGGAGAGGCCGAGTCAGGCAGGGAAGACGTGGAACCAGCCAAGGACGTGGAAGTGGGCACAGAATCTTGTCCCCTGGGACCTCCAGGAACCTCCAGGGGCTCAAGCTGGAGGCAGCCTCTCCTCTTTCCTCAGCTTCTGCCACATTCAATCAGTAGGATCAAGTCCTGCCAACTTGATCCCCAAGTGTATTCTGAAGTCAGACCCCTCTTCAGCCTCATCCTCGGGGGCCCCGTCACCTTTCTTCTCCATCATGCGACAGCCCGCACCGTGGCCCAAGTTTTTTTTTTTTTTTTTTTAATAATTTTATTTATTTATTTTTCCCCCAAAGCCCCAGTAGATAGTTGTATGTCATAGCTGCACATCCTTCTAGTTGCTGTATGTGGGACGCGGCCTCAGCATGGCCGGAGAAGCGGTGCGTTGGTGCGCGCCCGGGATCCGAACCCAGGCTGCCAGTAGCAGAGCGCGCACACTTAACCGCTAAGCCATGGGGCCGCGTGGCCCAAGTTTTAAGAAGACAGAAGTGGCATGTGTCTCCCTGCTCCTCTGAGTCTACCTCCCCCCTCACATTCAGGGTTGTGGGATACTGCAAAGGGCTGGACTTGTAGGCAGGGGGGCCTGGGTTCACACCCTGGCGCTGCCCCGACTCGCGGTGTGGCTGGGCCGGCCTCCACCCTCCCCCAACCACTGCTCTCTCCGCCGCGCCAGGGCCCTCGCCGCTGGGGAGCACGCCAGGCTCGCTCAGGCCTCCTTGCCTTTTCACGCCTCCCTTTGTCCACAACGTCCATCCCCAGCCCCCAGGCCACCCACTGTGTCAGTCCTGGGCGTGCCTGAATCTCCAAAAGGCTGAGGACTCCCCGGCCAGGGACCCCCTCTCCAGCTGCGATACCACTGCCCTACCCACCTCACATGGCAGGCGGCAGGTGTCCACAGAGGTCGACGGGAAGCGCCTCAGTCTCACCTCCGGAGCCACGCTCCTACCCGTAAAGCATGCGTCTGCCCAAACGTTGCTGAGAGGCTGAAGTGCCAGGTCCTCCCTGACCCCCATCCCACGTTCATCCCCCAGACACTCCCGTATCCTCCCAGCACTACGGCTGCT